CAATTGCATACATTTGAAAATGTACATCTTTTTGTTCTCCACAGCCCTGCAAAGCTGGGATTCTTAATAATTCCACTATATAGAAATACAGATCCTGAGGTTCAGAGTGGGTAAGTGACTGCAGAAAATTTACAAACCAAGTAAATGTCAGAAAATAAAGCTTGCTCTATGACTTCTTGACTCCAAATTGGTGCCCCTTCCACAAAGTCTCCTGCCTCTCTAAAGAGCTAATGCAGACAAAGGGGCTGGGCAAGTACACCCTATTGTTATTTATTTTAAGAGGCAGCCTAAGGGGAGTTACTGCCTCAGGAACAACTTGTGATTTAGTCTGAATCTAGGGCAGCTTCCTGAATTAAATCTGCACAAAGCCTTCTAGGGCTGCAGGTTGAACTTAATTTAATGCAAAAAATCATTATTACACACCAGTATCAATATGCAAGTGAATCCTAAAATCAGAATTAATTCCTTATCAGTGAACATAGTCATACAACATTAAAGCAAACAGGTCATCACTGAACAAGGACATTCAAGTCCTTGCAAGCAGATCCTAGATATGTACATTGATCTTATTTCCTTACCCCCAATCCCCATAGTTTCTTGGCTGAAAGGTAAGTGGAAAGTCTAGCAGGCGAGGGCATCTTGCTACATAGATCTAAGTAATCTAACCTGGGACCCAGAAGGCACAGGTCATTTTGAACTAAAAATTTTGAAGAGTTTATGAAATTCTGTAGTTACTATTCTCATTGTTTTCCGAATCAATGTTTTCCATTGTTTTCCAAATCAATGGATTCTGGAAATTGGGTACTGCAAATATCCTGTTGAACTTTTTTTCCCCAGATAGTCCAAAGGTGTTGCACATTCTTTTATCACAGATAATTTGCTATTGATCTACTTTCTCATTTATCTTCTTGGGCCTCACACCATCTTGGTCAAGATTTTGGTTTCCCGAGGCAACTGTCCTCTTATGCCTCCAAAGACCCTGGAGTGTCTTTTCCTTCAGAGGTCCTGGACACTTCAGTGAGATTTGGGACAGTGAGAATTTATTTTTATGGGGTTCTTGGGTACAAACTGCCAGGCTTCAATTAAAATATAATTTCCAGAAAAAGATAAAATCATGACTTTCATACAGACATAAAAGTGAGCACATGTTAAATAACTCATTTTACTCATATATATGTGAGAACCAGGCAAAATGGGACAGCACTGATTTTTTCATGGGTAGGATGGGACAAATAAAATCACTACCAGAAGGACAGAAGTTACATCTCTAACAATTACCCACAATTTACAAAGAAGCAGCAAAATAGCTCAAAGACAATGAATACGGCTAGAATTTCTATTGATACGCATAGTTTTTTTCATACCACCCCCCCCCCAAAATAAGAGAACATATAGGGCCTTCCTAACCTATTCCAGTGGAATAAAACAAGTATCCTGGGTAACATCAGATCACTGCCTGAGTGATCCTTTTAGAATACTGAATTTCCCTGGGAAATTTAAAACACAAATTATAATTCCCAAAAGTCTTCAAATGTTTAAAAGATAAAAATGTACAACTAAGAATATTATAAAACAAAGATTAAATATCAAAATTCACTAAAATATTCCAACCTTTTTTCAGACAGTTCAAATTGGATTATTTCCTGTTTGTATACTTCATAGCACCAACTAGACCCTCAAGAATAAGATCCTCAAAATACAGGCAGAAGTATGCAATCCCACTCTATTCATTGTTAGCTACAACACCTTCTTGCTGTGATTCTACATTAACTTTATCCTTTGCTATCATCAAGACTTTTATAACTAACATTTAGTAAACTTCAGAAATAAATTTTCTTTGGAAACACAGATAGTTACAGAATTACAGACTGTCACTAAAAAAATGACAATCCTCCATGGCTATTTCCATACAAATATTTGAATCCTTGAGTCTCATGCTACAGTCCCCAACTTTACATACTGTAAGTACACACAATACTACTACTAAAAATCAAGTGAAACTTTTAGTAACTTCCAAAAATGTTTAGTTCCATACAAAAATGTTAAGTTTAGCAATAAAAAATTCTCTAAATAAAATTATCAAAAATAATCAAATAAGGCAAGCTCTAAGCTAAGGAATGTGATCAATATAGAATTATAATCATAGAACACGATTTGTATTTCCATAGTTATCCCAAAATGTATGTCTACTCTTAGGTATTTACCTAAGAAAAATGAAAATATATGTCCACAGAAATACTTGCACATGATTATTCATAGCGCCTTTATTTAAAACAGCCAAAAGTTGAAAATAACCTAAATGTTCTTCTCAGATGAATGGATAAACATACTGTAGTATATCCATGTGGTGGAATATTAATCAGCAATAAAAAGGAACTAATTACTGATAAATACAACAATATTAATGATCAAAAACATTATGCTGAGTAAAAGAAGTCAGACACATACCTACTATATGGTATCATTTTCTAGAATTGGTAAGACTAATCTAGAGTGACTAAGTCTAGAGTAAATGAGTAGTTTCTAAGGGTCTGAGAGTGAGGAAAGTGATTAACTGCCAAGGGGTATTAGGTCACTTCTTGGGATGATGGAAATGTTCTATAGTTTGTGTTAATGGTTACATGGTATATCTGTCAACATATATTGAACTTATTGATAGGTTGTTAACTAAAGCTCATAGTTTACACTAGGGTTCATTCTTTGTGTTGCACAGTTTTATGAGTTTTGACAAATGCACCCTGTCATATATCCACCATTACAGTGTGATACATGATAGTTCCATTGCCCTAAAAGTGCCCTGTGCTCCACATACTCATCCTGCCCCCTTTGCTTCCTTCCCGCAAATTCTGGCAACCATCCATCTTTTTACCATCTCTAAAGTTTTGCCAACTATTGTACTTTTCCTCTCATTCTTTTAGGTAAGTGCTATATACACACAGATTCAATATAAGCTTTTATCTCTGCCATCCAATCAGATTATCTCCTCTCTTTATGTAATTTATCTTTTCCCGAGGACCTCCCAGAAAGTGGTAGAGATCTGCCTACTACAAGCTGCAGCAGAGGCAGCTATTCTCCCCAGTACCCATTTCCCCCTTCTGCTTTTTAATAAAACAATCCCACTCTGTCAAGGTTTGACTGAGCCCTTGGCTAGCTAGCTACAGACTGCATTTCCAACTATCCTTGTATCTTGATGCGGCCTATAAGATATGAGTAAACAGAGTATGTACAAAAGCCTTCACAGATGAAAGGAAAACACTAAATATAATACAGTTTGTATAACTGTATTTTGGAATTTTTAACATTTTACAGTGTCAAGAAAATAAAATAAACAAAAGGGCAGGAGGCTCAACTTCTATGAGGCCTTATGGGAAACACGGACATTTAAAGTGTAATGGACAAACAGAAGCTTGTGAGGGTTAAAAAAAGGATGGTCAGGAAGTTGGAAGGAGAATCAAGGGATTGCAGTTTTATGGATGCTAAAGGGAACCAAACTTTAGAAGTGATCAACATGTCCAAATGAAACAGAGAAATCCAATAAAACAAAAAATGAAAATGATTTAATGATTCATAGTTCATTACTCTTAGTCTCAGTTTCACATCTATAAAATGGGTTATCTCATGTGGTTATTATGAGGTTAAACTAAACATAGCTTCTGGTTTGTGATAGGTGCTCCATAATTTTTACAGCTTCCTTTCTCTCTTCTTGTGATTAATTCACTGTTTTATTGAAATACTTATTGCTAGTGAGGAACCCTGTTTGAGGCTAAGAATGCACTGATGACAGACTCTGCATCAAAGTACTCTATGGTGTACAGACTGCCAGTAACGATTCCTTGCCATGAGTGATACAATGATAGGAAGTATATAGAAATTATTTATAGTTTCTTTGGTTTTGGCAGGTGAATTGTGAAACTGAAAAATATCTCAAAATGTCTCAAATATCTCAAAAAAATTTTGTTCACGTAGTGTGGTATTGTTGATGCAAGAAAAATGTTTCTAAATTATTGGACCCAATGTAAAGCAATGCATTTTAATTTTCGTATTAAAGCTTTGCGTTTTTAAGATAATAGTTTAAGGTTGGAGACATCTATCAACTGAAATTCTCTCAATGCTCTGTGCTTTTTAAAAAAGCAAATGGATAATTTTAATTGGGACATATCCTATTAATTTATATTCATAGTTGCTCATATTAGGACATTCATCTTTACTAGCAGTATCTTTTTAAAAAATTGAGTTTTAAACTATTTTACATGCAGTAAAATCTATCCCTTTTATGAGTTGTGACAAAGATACAGAACAATTCCATTACCCCCCCATTCCCTCAAGCCCCTTTTTGGTCATCCCCTTCCCCTGGTCACCACTGATCAGTGTTCTGTCCCTTTTTAAGACGTTTTTAGTTTGAAATAATTATAAGCTCACAGGACATTGTATAAATAGTACACAGAGTCCTGTGTATCCATCACCTAGCCTTCTCCAATGGTGACATCTTACATAACTGTCGTACAAGCTCAAAACCATGTCCTGTATGTTTGAAGGCAGGTTTTCCTTTCACTTCTTTGCCTGTGTTTACTTTTCTCACACAAATTTAATTCTGCCGTGTTAAAAAGAGCAGATGCTAGTTTTCCCTCAGATGTCTGCCGTTGCATTTTCAGTATTTCAATTGGACCACCCCCCGTTACTACTACATCTTTCTCTAGTCTTTTCTGTATCTCACCTTTTCCCCCCAATTTAATTCTGCTGCTAGACTTTTTTTCTTTCCCCTGAGCTGTGTGCCACAGATGGTATTATTGTCAATTCACGAACCCTAACTTCTACCACGGTCCTTAAGTTTTAAGTGGGCGTGCTTGTGCTTAATTGCTATGTTTACAGTAGTTCGGCAGTGGCGTTTTGAGAGGCGGCACGGTTCCACAACCCCTCAGAGAGATTCTAGGGGCACTGAGGCGTTCAACTCCTTTCTTGCCCTACCTTTCTCCATTGGTCATCCTTTTATTTTCCAGACATTGGGCTGTCTGTCGGACGAGAGTGTGCAGAGACTGTCGAAACCGCTAGCACCCCCTCCCCTGGCACCCCCCTCAGTGCTCCGCCTTTGTGCGGCGTTGAGGGCACAGTCACCGTTGGGTTCTCGCGGCCGGTGAGGTGCGGGGGCGGGGCCTCGGCGGCTGCTTCGCGGGGCGCAGGGAAGTCACGCCCTCCCGGCCCCGGCCCGGCGCACGCGTCCCACGACGTCAGCCGCCCGCGCGAGCCGGGTCCCTGGGTGTGCGGGCGGTGCAGTGCGCATGCTCCGACTGGGTCGCCTCAGGCGACGGCGGCTGAGGGAGGGGTAGGGCCCCTTTTCTCGGGGGCGTCCCTGCTGTCTGGCTCTGCACTTCCGCTGCCGTCCCCTTGACCCCCGGGGGCCTATTACTCTCCTCCCTGGGACCGACGGTGGGCGGTAGCTCGCTGAGCGGTGGGTCCCTCTACCCCGCTCCCCTCCCTCAGCCCGGTCGCCCCGCCCCCGCGGGGCTGGGCGGCAAGGTCAGGGGCCGAGCGGAGCGGGGTGAGTATTCCCACAGACTGCCGGCCGATTCTCCCCGGTTCTGTTTCCCTCACGGTCCTCACCCCACTCCTGGGATAGGGAGGAAGGGCGGGCGCGGGTGGGCGGGAAACAACACAGCCCTAAACAAAAGGCAGGGGAAGCCCCGCTCCCGCCAGTCAAATGGAGGCTGGGTGGCGTTGGAGCCGCGGCGGGAGGGCGAGCCGCTAGGGCGGCTCCTGGGCCACTGTCGAGACCTCACCCTCGCCTTAGTTACCACCGTGTGTTTAAAGCCGGTACTGGGATAGATAGGCTCGTAACCTTCAAACAAAGGGTGTAAAGTTACTGGCGGTTCCACTGCTCAAATCCCACTCAACTTGTAGAAGTTTCAGATTCATTGTTAGGAGTTTTTCTTCCAAATAATCTATCTACTCATAGTACCTGAAATCATGAATGGGGGTGGGATAAAGGAATAGTTAACTGACTTATAGAAACAAAGTTTTATGATGGTAGAAATTATAAACATCGCCGAAAAGGCAAAAGGAGAGCCACGTGTCTTTTCACAGTCAAAATAGAGCCTTGTCTAACAGGCCCCACTGAGAATCAATTATCTAGGTGACTGTACTTTTGCTTGACACCATACTGATTAGGGCCAAAGCGTTGCAATTTCTTTTTCTTTCTTTTCTTTCTTTCTGTCTGTCTCGTAGAGATGCAAATTTTTTCTGACTAGGAGGAAAAAAAGTACTCCTGAGGGTTGTAGTTTTATTGCCTTATTTCCAAGATTTTAAAACATTTTTTACCATTCATCTTGCTCCTTCATTATGAGTTCAGTAAATCTTTGCCACAGGCTCACTTTGTATGAGTCATGTTTATAACTTTTCAAAAATTACAATTTGACAGGCCTCCACTCTTAAGTGTCAAAAGCTTAGTTTATACTTTTCAGAATTGGAAAACATAGGCCCTGTGTACTCAGCTACATTATTAGGACCTGAAGTAGAATCCTTCGTTCTTGTTTCTGAAGGGTCAGATACGGACAAGAGGAGACTTTTACAAAATGAAAACTGGTTAAAAAAATAAATATTGAATATTGAGAAATTCAAATTAAAGTTTTGCAATTACAGGGTTTAAAAGTCGTTGATATTTTAACTGAGACTAGTGGAAGCAGTTTTCACTAGTTCTAAGCTGGATTCATTGGGTATAGAATGTTACAAGATTATGCTTTTAAGTTTCTGAGAAAAATAAGACACCCATTAGAAAAAACAAGTAGGATAAAGTTTGTATCAGTAGTTTCCTTAAGACTGGACTTGATTTGATTATTAATATCCTGAAGCCTAGAGATGTATTTGGGATCCTAGAGGCACTATTTGAAACATAAGCATGATCACGAACCATGACAACAACAGAGTGCCATAGAGATTGGTGATTAACATGTCTTCAGGGGCCAAGCAGGCTGGGTATAAAACAATTGGAAAGAATGGGATGGAGAATAAACCCAACCTAAAGGATTCAGATTAGGGAGAGGCTGCTGAAAACTGTGCAGAACCAGAAGTTCCTGTAA